GGGGGGGGGGGGGGAGGCTTAGAAATACAGAAGGAACAATGGTGGCGTACACTGAGCCCAAGTGTGGTTGTTGAAATCCTTTTTGTTAACCTTGCCATCTGGTTCTACAAACAGATAGGTAAGTTGCTGTTAGAATAAAGCCAAGATCAAAAATATCTTTATTTAGGCTGAACTTATGTCAGAGGACTAAATATGCCCCAAACAGATCATTCATTCATTCACCCACCCCGCAAACATTTGCACAGCAACAGAGACAATGTTATGTTGAGCTTAAGAAACTTCGTTTAGTGGGGAATCACTACTCTGGATAACAGAGATAACACTGATTCTGGCCTAATGACAATTCTTAAAAATGATACCATTCTAAACCTTTCATTCTTCAACTATTATTAAAACAATTAAACCATTATTTTTTGCTCTTTGCTGCTATTCATTTACATTTTACTTTGAAAAAACTCTCGGCACCATTGGACTGAAATGTCACTCTCATCCCTTCATGGATGCGCCACCCACCTTCCCCTTTCCTTCCTTCTCAGAACAATGGATTCCGCATGTAACTCTCCTCGTTCTCTGAATTATGGCTAGTTACTCTTTGGGGTTCTCTCCTGCCGTCTCCCACTCCTTCTCTTTCCCCTTACCTCCTTTCCTACCTCTTCCTAATTTCTTTCAACCTCCTTTGGGAGGGGGCGAGCTTTTCCCTTTTTCTTAAGACTATCAAATAACATCGTAAGAAAGAAATCACGGTACCTACTCATTAGTCCTTTCCAATGAGAAAGGCCTTCCTGTGTCTGAGTGATGATGGCATCTTGAGTTACAAACTCCAATAACTCCTAGGAATTACCCCTCATATGCTGCGCACGCTCAGCTTCTCTTCTCAAGAGCCTGAGTGACTGGCATAAGTAAAAACGATGTCCATAGACCACAACTTCATCGTGACAGCCTTCCTTGAAGGGTTTAATGGGAGAGGTATCCCAGCAGACTGGCCTCAAGCTAACTGATTTACATCGTTACTTCTCAGTCTTGGATAGCTTCCTTCCAATCTGCACAGGCTCTTAGAGTGACCAAAATGGGAAAATATTAACACGGGCTTCATAACAACGTCAAGTTCGCTGATCGAAGTGCTGCTTTTCAACTGTACAGGGAGCACTGCTTTCTGAATAAATTTAAGATAGTAAAAGTCACAGAAGTAACAAGTGATTAGACATTTGTGTAATGAATGGCCTGATTAATGCAAAGTCATTGCACAGTTTCCAGGGTCAACTGGTCATTTCTGCTCTACCTTTCTCTTCTCCCACCCTCTCAAAAAATGCCAAGAAAACAAAACAAGACACAGACTAAGGACAGAGTTGGTCTGTTACTGGTTCATAGGCAACTGAAAATACCCTTGTCCAGCTTCAGCTCCCTGAAGCTCTTACAGGCAAGAATGATGTAGGATGAACCACGATGAGTTCCACGCCACATGGCCACGGTATAGCCCAGGAAAGCAATCTACTCAGCGTTGGTGAATAAATGTTTTTGAAAGGCTTTTTCAAAATTCCCTTTGAATCTGAGAGTGGAAAGGCTTTCTAACTATGATTCACAATCAAAAAACCATTTATAAAAAATGATATATTCTTCTACACAAAACCCCCATATTTCTATAGGGCAAAAACACTGTACGTTAACTCAAAAGACAAAACTGAGAAAAAAAAGATGCAATTCAAATCACAGGCAAGGGCTCACATCCCTAATATATAAATAGTTCCTAAATGTTAAGGAAAAAGAGCAGCCACCCAATAAAAAGTGGCCAAAGAACAATTCTTGGCAGCTTATGGAAGAAGAAATAGAAATGGCTGGTAAACACATGAAAAATGTCCAACATCACTTTTAAAAGAAATGTAAATTAAAAATAAGGTGAGATACCATTTTCACATATGACAAGAATCCTAAGTTTGACAACACATTCTCTCTAACAAGACTGGGAAAACAGGCCCTCCTCACACAGGCTGTGAGAGTGTAACTTGCTAAAACCCCGAGGGCGGGTGACTTGGCATATCTACCAAAATTCCAAATGCATGCACCCAATGGCCCTGTAATTCCACTTCTTGGTTATTTATTCTGCAGACATGTTTCACTTGGCTAAAGGACACGCACAAGGTTATTTATTGCGGCATCAATTTTATAGTAAATGTATGAACATAATGTAAGTGTCTATTAAGAGGGAAGTGGTCAAATATATGGCATTGCCGTATAATGGGATAATAGCAGCTATAAAACATAAAAAGAATGACGACATTCTGTGTCCTGATATAGGAAGACACACTGCTCACGGAGAAGTGCACCAGAGCGCAGAAAAACCTTTCTGTACAGAGGGCCGGGGGAGGCTGGGATAAAGCCATATCCTGGTGTCCGCTCGTATATGCGAAAAGGACCCGGGGCAGATACACAGAGAATGAACACGGCAATTACCAAGAGTGGGTAACGGGGCTGAGAAAGTTTCCACCATCCACTTTTTAAGATGATTGGATCTTTGAACCCTATAAATAAATGTATTATTATTCAAAACATTTAAATTTTCAAAAGTGTCTTCGTGACTGTGTCAAAGGCATTGTTTGCTGAAAACATTAATCATTAACTTTGAGAATTTAGGGGAGGCTTGAGGGGGAGCTAAGGGTCATCTTTTGTAGTCTCTTCTCTCTTGCAGTTTCCCAAATGTGAACTATGAACCTTAAAGATAGAAACATTCTCACAGCCCCACCTCCTACTACCATTTTTCCCCCTTAAAGTGGTGTCATTTATGCCCGGCCAGTGTGGCTCAGCGGATGAGCATCAACCTATGATCCAGGAGATAGAGGTTTGATTCCCCGTCAGGGCACATGCCTTGGCTGTGAGCTAGATCCTCAGTCAGGGGCGTGAAGGAGGCAGCCGATCAATGACTCTCTCATCACTGATATCTCTCTCTCTCTCCCCCTCTCCCTTCCTCTCTCCGAAATCAATAAAGACACATTTTTTTTTTTTTTTTAAAAAAGGTGTTATTTAAATACATACAAGCATAAATCCAAGTACAAACTTCTTATGCACAAAGCTCATTTATAATTAGAAAAACAAAATATATTTTCAAATTAAGTGCAGGAAAATTATAAAACCAATAAAAGTCTGAAAAAAACCCTCATTAACTTATTGTACACCATGAGGTTGTTTTGTTGACAGTAAATTGTCACTGCATAGGGAACACTGCACAGGATCTCTGGAATTCAGCTTAAGCATTACTTTTTGCTATGTAATGCAGTGACTCTCATTTTCCTCTGTTCAAATTCAGAAAATCTAGTGTAGTAGGTGGTGCCATTAAGGGACCTTCCTTTGGCCAAATGCATCTTTCTGTATTCAAGCTGCTCTCAATGGGGAGCCATTACTCTTATAAATGCAAGTACTAACCTGAGCAACTAACCCTGGGTATCAGCCATATAACGGTCATTCCAATAACCCAGAATAACTTGTATTAAGATTATTTTATTTTAATATTATTAATTTTTAACAAAATAAAATGAAATATCAAATTTAAAAATTTTGGAGAACTCAGGCTGAGCGTGTACACAGACCCCCAGTAGGTAGAGAGCCTAGTACACAGAACACAGCTGGAACTCGTTAATAAACTTGAGAGGAGATGCCTCTATTCACTGCCCCAGAAGAAGACCCTGCCTTGAACCTGATTTTTGAGTCTCTGAGGGGGTCAGATTCTTTGACCCCCGAATCTTCCTTCACCTTGCATTCCCTCTTTGTGTCACTGCCCACAGCTGGGAAGCAGCCTGGTCCTATTCCTGTGCTCACTTCCAAGCTCTCAAACCTCAGCCTGGGGCAGAGTCTCAAACCACCTACGGCCTGGGATGAGGGACTGGACAATCCATGATGACATAATCCCCATATAGCACAAAGAACAATTCTTCATAGAGGGCACATACTATCCAATCTGCATTTCAAAGCCTCTCTCATTAAGTCTCAACAGAAACCAAGAAACTAATTTCAGTCTTAAACATCTGTGCAGATTCTTGCTGAATTGAATCCAGTCTTTCAAACATAGGGATGATGTCATGTATTTCTGCATCTTCAGTAAAAAAAAAATTTTAAATGTGGCAACCATCTAATATCTGTTTGACAGATGAATGAGCGAGTGAATGGATGAATAACTAAATGAGTGAGTGATGAATTAGCCAGAGAATAAAAATAGAGAAAAGGCAAAAAAAAAAAAAGAGCTCATCCAACCACCTGAGACATCAGCTAGCCTCTCTTTACATCTCCAACACCTCTCTCCAATCACCTAAAAGCACTGCAGAAGCACTATTACCCTTTTCTAATGAAAATCTTTCTCCACATATAATGTTCATTAAAAAAACAGAGTCTACCAAAGAAATATAAGAGGGTTCTCATGTGCATTTATTTTTAAAAGTATTTGCAGGTGCAGTAGAGGACGTCACTGTGCTATCTGGCCTGTCGCCAAGGCTAAAGCTAAAAACAAGTAGCTTCTACTGCACTTATGTTATAGAATGTACTGATGTATTGTGGTAAACGCTTTCCCATCAAAACTGTACAGTGATTATAAAGGTCACTGGCTACAGACTTCAGGCACATTCTTCCGATACCACGTTCAATAACAGTCAGGAATGTTGGCCACCATCCAAAGTAAGGGGAAAGGAAACAATTCTTTCAAGTTCAAGCAGTTCTGAGTTACATGAAGGTATTTAAATATATGTATACACACACACACTTCAAATGGTAGAAAAGTAACAGTTCTGTCAGAGCTTTCAATGAATTTGTTAGCCATTTCAGAGAAGATGAAAATCTACTCTCATTTGATGAAATGCAGGCCTATGTGATACAAATAAATGGAAGCATTTAGTGCCATTCTGAGGTCTATGCCAGATCCTTCTGGCGTTGCTTTGTTCCGGTTAGTATCCTGAATTCTCGCTCTTTCTCCTTTTTGGGTTTTCCCTATGTCACGCGGTCCTCATTCGCCACAGCTATAGAACTGCCATTTACTGGTCTCTCCCCCGCCCCCTCGACATTCCAAGTTTCACTGGGTTTCAGGATGTGAAGCTGTCATAAGAGCAGTGACGGTCAAGGTGTACATTAGCTATTTTGTTTCTTTTAAGATGTTAGAGATTTGTGTAATTTGAACAAATCCCCAGTTTAAGTGAGACTAAACTAATGCTAGGAGATTCTGATGATGTGAAAAAGGAATTGCATTCAAACCACATTCCCTAAGTTCAACTCGTCCATCACAACAGCATGGGCCCGGTGGAGGCACTTAAGATGACGACTTCGGTTCCACCAAACAGGCTGTATTCTCCTTCCTCCGGGTTTTCAAAAAAAAAAAAAAAATAATGATGCAACAGGGTTTTCCCTTTTACCACATTCCTTTGTAAACAAACCAACCAAAAACCCTTCTGGGTAATTACGTCATTTGAATCTGAGCAAACACTCTATTTTGGAGGAGGGTATCACCATTGACTTGCCCAGACATTTTTTGGTGGCCTCTATGGAGCCAAAAATCTGAGTGTTAGAGAGTGGCAGGAATTATGTCTTATTAGGATCGCTAATTATTACGAGGAGTCTCACTGACAAAATCCAGAAATTTTCTTCTGACTAACCTATATATTTTTTAAAAAAAGCCTTTGGAACCACCAAAATGACTGATTCACAAAACAGCGAATGGTTTGCAAGCTGATGCCTGTCCAGGGGAATGAACACTCAGTCTAAGATCCTATGCGACCTCCCAGTAAAAGAAAACTACCTATCTGCGAGTCCTTCATTCATTCTCCATTCATTCTTCACTTGCTCTCAGTGAGAAGCCTGAGGAGCAGTTAATTTTCTCACCGGATTCCTACATGAAAAAACAGAAATTGGTAGAGTTGGGACTCAAAGCCAGGCCTCCTTACTCCAAATCGTCTTCTCTTTCCATTGCACCATAAAGTGAAAAATATTTCTTAACTGATGTTTTGGACCTCAAAGCTGAGCCAGTCAGAAGCATGGCTACCTGGATCTAATCATGGAAACCATCCTCTACTACGAATGGAGCCCGAGGGCCACAGAGGAACCTTCCGACTCCTCATTCGGTAATTCCCCGTAGTAACGGCCATGACTCACTGAGCTCGTGCTAGGTTCTGACTGCTGTTCTCAACTTTTTCCGTTTATAAATGTAAGCAGCTCCAATACACAGGTACTCCTTTTCCCCTCGTTTTAAAGATGAGGAGGCTGAGGCAGGGAAATGCAATTTGCCCCAAATCACACCAGCCTGAAAGTAGATTTCAACTCAAGTACGGAGCTATTCTCTGTATCTCTGAACAGTGTGTGCATTGCATAAAGGTACCTGGACACGAGGTATCTAGCCCAGCTCTGCCTGGGGGCGCTGCCTTCCCAGGGGCAGAGCTCAGAAGGGACACCTTTTTCTAAGTGCACAATGCCCTGTGTAGGACACGCTCAGGGAG